CTATTGCTTTGTTGTTAAAAATATAGTCTGTGGCTGTAAACCAAAACCAACAATTAATTCCACTGAGCCTGCAAAGGCTAGCAGGAATGTATGCGTTGCCAGTCCCCAAATCTCTGTATGCCCTTGTAAGCCTTTTGCAAGGGTCATGGTGGCTGGGTTTTGTATATCATGTGGCCAAGCCAGCAGCTTCCCCTGCCCCTGATGGATTTGATCTTCAATGCTGGATGTTTGTAGTATTAGATTACAGTGTATGATAAATAGACTTTTTGTAAGTGCTATGTGACTCATATTTTCATAGTTGTAGTCCATCAATTCACCAAACATAGCCATCTGTACCTGCATGGAACCTCTGTTGGAGTCAGTAGCTCATTTTTGGCACAGCAGCACCCTTGTATGTTGTAAATTGCTGGCCTGGTTCTGTGATGACCATGTTGTTATAAGGTTGTAATTTCAACAAGATTATGAAATGGAGCCAAAGGCATGAAGATGGGCTTAAAAAATGAAGTGTTGCTGCTGATGCTGAAGGGAAAACAAAACAGAACATGTATGTATGGGAATGAATGGAAAAGGAAGCTGCAACCTTCTACTGCTTAGATATGTGCTAGGAATGCTTGCACCTATTCTGTTTCTGGCTTGCAAAGGTATTTGATAATGAAAGGGAAAAGAGCTTTAGCTTTATGGCAGTTCTCCATAGAATTGTAGAACCTTTGTAGGAGGAAAAAAACAGAAAAAAGACTTGGAGACTTATCTTCTGGATGTCATATTTATGGCTTGGCTGTATTAATAGTTGAGTTTGGTCTGCTTTTGCCATTGTAGTGCTGTTGGAATTGGCTGTGGTTTGGCCATTAGAAATTAAAGGAGACAGCAGCAGTCATTTATTGAGGAATAAACTTGAACAAAGGAAGTAAATATGAAGGGGGAAAGTAGGAATGAAAGGGCAAATAGAAAGATACAGTGCAAAAGATGTAACTTATCCTTTAGTTCAACAACTGAGGAACTTGATCAGGAATTAAGAGTTGGTAGTTCTCCATCAGATGGTGTCAGTGCTGTCCTCTAAAGAACAAAGGCTTCTGATTTAGAGACCAAAACTGGCTTCTGAAGCCCATGTGCTGTGCATTAGATGCCTTTTTAAAGTGTGTAAGAGTATTAACCATCTGAAAAAAAAACCAAAAAAAACAACGAAGAGGATTGAATAAGAGCATAGAATATTTTGTGGCTTAAAAGGCAGATCTATTTAGAAATACACTTCTGGCCTTATTTTGCCTTCCTTGCAGCATGGTGCTGTTAACTGTAATTTGGACATAAACATGTTTCCAGCCTTCCACTGGTCAAAATTACAGCTACAGAACCTAATATTAAATTAATTTCAGAAAAACCAAGGAGGAGCTATGAGAGAAGAAAAGATCTCTCATGTATATGTCCAGTATAATTTTTTCACTAGGTTCAGTAGATGTAGTTCTAATAACCGAAAACTGTTGGTTTTGTGGTTGTGGTTTTTTTTTTTTCTTTTTTCTTTTTTCTTGTTTTATTTTTGATTGGGGGGTGAGGAACAAGACCTCATTTCCTGAAAGTACAGAAGAAAGTGTTCCAGAATTGAAAACTGTTAGGATATACCATAAACCAATAGGAAGCACTTGGTGTCCTAATCAGCATCAGTATAACAAACATGAATACTAGAGTATATGGTGAACTTTTATAGTTAATACTTCATATTTTTTTACAGTTATTGTTCTGGTGAAGGAGATGGAAGTACAAGGCAATCTTGCCTTCTACCCCTGCCCCTTGAACACCTGTTTGAGCTTCCTAGTTATTTATATGCCTATAGCCAGAATGTATTTTTAGCAGTATTGATAAACTGTGGAAATGCAGGGTAAAATTGTAGCTTCTGCATGAGGTTATAGAGACAATGGAAAGCAAAACATACATTTTTGTTTCTTAAAATGTATGTGGGAGATGTTGTCACCCATATAACCTTGCGGGTTTTCCCTATTACTTGCACTACTCCCATACTATGAAAGATAGTATGGTGTTTGGAGGACACAGGAGTGGAAAACAACAAAAAACGCCATCTCTTGCTTTTTGTTTTGTTTTTGATATTTCAGTTGACCCTCATATCTGTGGCTTAGGTTTTCCTCAGCTTCAACAAACTAAATAGCATCATCATTGTCTTCCTCCGTTCTTACTCATCTTCATTCTCTTCCCTGGCAGCTCCATGAGATTCAGTGCTAAAGATCTGGCTTTGCTGGCCAGGCAACCATCGGTTTCTTTTGACAAGGAAGGAAAACTGAAGATTTGCAGGGTGGTCGGGGATGAAAAATTAATAGGTAAAAATGACTTGCACTGAAAACTACCTGTGGTTGATGTGCATGTGTTTTGCAGTTGTCAGCTTGCAGTTTCACTAATCACATGCACCTTGGAGTTTTCAGTTTTCTTCATTACTGATGCTTGAGTGGTGCTAAATACCTTCTAAATAAAGAAGTTTAAAGCTAGCTCTTTAGTTTGCTTAAGTTTTCAAGCTTCCTTTGTCATGTCTCTGAGAAACAGTACTTGGTTCTTACATTATTATTATTTTTAATTATTTTTTCCTGTTAAGAAAGATTGATTTTTACTGCTTGTGATTGCTTATCACTAGTCATTAGTCACCCTATTTTCAGTTCCTCAGGAGCTGCCCCTCCCATACTCAAAACCTGTTCTTTTATCATTATAGATTTTCCATGGCTCACTTCCTACCTCTTTTGCAGGTTTCTTCAGGCTTTTATGATCATGTTTTAAATGTCTTTCAATTTCCAGTAAGCTTGAATAAATGTCTGTTCCCTCGGTAGCTGTTAAGAAATAGCTCCTGTTTAGCTGTAAAATCAGCTCTAATGCAATAATTTCAGCCACAGCAAATGTTTTATTTTCACTTGTCCCAGTTGATCTTCATTGTATTATGCTTATGCTTATTTTTGGGGAAAAAAAAAAAACAACAAACAAACCCAAATGAACACAGCCTCAATTATGATGAGCGGATGAGAAAATTTTGTGCCACATTTTCAGAATATTTATTTTCTAATGGCAAGTAGACAGTTTCCTGTGGAGGATACAGCAAATTTCTTGGAGATAATACTAGTGAGCTTTTCTTTTTGGCTGCTTTGAGGTTCCTCAAGAGGATTCTCTCCCCATGTTCTTCTTGTAGGCAGCATGTCCAGTGAATGTATGATGTTTATGAGGATGTTTTTAAGTTTTCTTCCCTCGTGAATACTGATATTGCCACTAAAAACCTTAGGTTGACCAGAGACAGACCAAACATTCATCTAGCCCACTATCATGGGCTCTCTGTGCCATGGTCAGTGGTGATAGAATCTAGGAAAGTGTTTAAAAAAACTATGCATGTGTAGGATGTTCCTTTTGCCCTGTAAATCCTTCTGGCTTTCAGCAATCAGATTATGACTCCTTGAGAGAAGGGTCACTTCTCTTGAGGTGTTTTGGTCACTGTATATGCTATCCACTGGTATACTATCCATTGATCATCGTTAGTGTGACTAATCTTTGGACTTGCTTATTTTTCACACTTATGAGGTAGTGACTTTCACAGTCCTATATAAAAATGACTTTTATTAGAAAAAGCAGCAGTGTGAATGTAACATTCCTTCCTTTTGGTCCCTACAGGGTTCTGGAGGATAGAATTTAGTCTTAGCAGGGTCCTGTACTTCTACTCTAAAGCAGCATCCTTGCCTCTGATAACTGTGTTTAGATTTTTAGTTGGTGGATATGCATCTGTATTATTTTCTGTGTTGTTCTTGTACTCTAATACATCTGCAAATACCTAGGAAGTTCAATTCTTTTTCTAAAAACCAACCCTGGTTATAAGTGAAACCAGTTATTTTATGTCCTGTGACTGGGAGTGTAAACCTTCCACTCTCCTGTGGGGGAAAAGCTATTCTGATTTTTTTTAAATGTTGCCTATTGAAATTATAAAGAGGAAGGAAAAAGAATCTTATTTATTTATTGTAACAAGACATCCCCCCTGGTCCATGTTATGGCTCTAGCAATCGCCAGCTTTGAGGTAAGTACAAGAGTTCCACAGAGGTAGCTGTGGAATAACATGATCTTAGGGTACAGCTGTTCTTCCTGTTCCCTAGCAGTTCAAGATTGGCTGCTGTGTGGACACATGGGGTTTCACATGCCCTCTCAGAAAGAAAAAGGAATATATCTTACGTAAGGCCTTTCCCTCGTATGTGAAGAAGTGGCATCGGGTTTGTCTGAAGTGCTCACATTTTGTGAGATCTGTATAGCAGGTATATATATGTAGCTGTCTGTACCTACAGATGTATACACAAGTGCTTTTTTAAGAAGAAAAATTATGCAATTTTAAAAGTGGAAAGTTCAGGAAGAGTAACTTTTGAACCCTTTTGGACCCACTCACCAACCCTAAAGTTCTGAAGCATTCCCTGTTTTTAAAAGCTTAAGTGCCTGCATGTGTATAAACACAAATATGTTGTTGTTCCCATTGGTTAAGCACTTTTTAAAAGTGTAGTAAGAGCAGTAACAAAATGACTGTGAGTATTTAGGTTTCATTTGCTTAGTTCTTATTTTCTAACAATTATAAATTTAGATTAGTGTGTTGTAATCTAAGTGGGATAGTAAATGTTTTTGTGTCTTAACAAGGATTATATTTCATCTCTTGAAATAATTGAAGAACAAGCTGTTCCATGCCCAAGTGGCTGTTTCCGCTCCAATGTGAGGAAAAGGGAGGAAAACAGAGAAAACAGTGTTGAGTGTGTGCCGCAGTCACCAATTCTCTTGGCTGCAGAGTAGAAGAAACCTTCTGGGAAGTTGCTTGGCATTTAACAGCATGTTGTACATAGGCAGCTGCTGAGTGAAGCTGGCTTTTTTTGGTTGTTAATGATTCTTTTTTTCCTGACCTTTATAACTAATGCATCTTCTTTAAGAAGCATTTAATGTGTGAAGACAAAAGGTTGTTTTTCTTAATCTCTTACTTCTTTGCATGTAGAACTGAGAGAGAGATGGTGCCGTCTGAAAAGAAATCTGCTTTTTCTAACGAAAAATAAGGTAATTCATTTTCCTATTGCTTTTCTTGATGTGTTAGTCTAATTAGTGAAAACTTGAGTGATCCTTTTTTCATGATAGCTGTTGGCATTGTGTTTTCAGGGAGAAAAAAAAAAATCACTATTATTAGAATAGTGGAGATGAAGAAAACCCCACCCCATTGTTTTCCTTCAACACTCAGTATTTTTCATGATATCAACATGCCTTAGCTGAATCTATGGCCAGATTCTGCTTATAACACATGCAGGTCTAAATCTAGAATTACTCCACCAAATCCACTGGAATAATGAAAGCAAAATCTCACAGCTGTATAAGGTAATGTGTTAATGTTCAAGATGCAATTTCTGACCACTACTACAGTTTTTTAGTGTGGTTTTGTAACTATGTTTATCAAGAGTACTTTTATTTTTAATTCCTTTATTGTAAAGAGTAATTATGTGCTTAAAATGGAGGGCCTATTAAAATAGGGTCTGACCATGGCACACAGTGGGGGTCTTGCAGGAGCTGCTGAGTGCCCTCATTTGCCATTGGCTTTATTAGGCGTCTAGGCCACTCATCCTCTGGAAGGAGCAAGCACTGAGTGCGGAATTGCTCTTTTTTTTTTGCCCTTTCTGTCTGATATTATGAACACTGCTTCTGTAGTTGCCTGAAAATAGCGCTGGATTGTATTGAATTAGGGAGTAGTATGAAGATTGAGATACTTACCTGTTAACCATAAGTGTTTTATAATTGGCTTCTAGGGTATTTTTATACTCTGTGGTCTAGCATTTGGATGGAAATTATAGTACTGCTTGACAGATTGCATATTCTGTTTGAAAGATTTTTGTCAATGGGATATAGTGGCCTATTTTAATATAGTTATGAATGTGCACATACGGCATACTTTTAAAGCAGTATTTGCTATCTGTTCAGGAGCATGGGGTAGATTTCTGTATGCATGCAAACAAATGAGACTGTGTGATGTAAATGTTTCTGTGGCCTGAGTTCCATATGGCTGCGTTACCCTGGGTGGTAGAAGGACCAAGAAGTCCTTCACCTACATAGGTGAAAGCAAGTTTATGGTCACCCCTTTGTCACACCCTCAGAAGTTATCATTCTGCTGTATGACTTGCAGAAACTATTTTTAGTAAAAGGCTCTAAGTTTCAAACTGCTTTCTTCTACTCTGTATTCCTCCAAGTCTCCTATTTTCATGGGAGCCTCTGGCATTTTGTAAAACAGTTTCAGGGAATATTTTGAGCAACTTTGCAGCTGTGAAGAGTAGGAGAATTTTGCTGAAATCAAATATAGCTATCACTTTGGCTCTGGAAATTCAGAGAATTAATGTTACTATACTAGAGGGTTTAGTGTGGATTGGTACTTGGGTTCATATGGTGTGTGGTGTGTATGTATGTATTTTAATGTGTAGATGAGGTGCAGATGGATGGAAGATGAGGCAAGCTCAGTTGGACCATCAAATCAACCAACCAACTAGTAAATAAATGGGAATTCCCCTTGAAATGCTGTGTTTTGACTGAACCAGTTAAATAGGTGGGTGATTTTTGTCTCTATGTATAGGTCAGTTTTATAAAACTACATCTCATTCTGGTTTCCTTGTGTAAAGTTTTCAAAATTTGCTGTAGTTACATATGGAGCCGGGATATGTGACAAATCTTAGTTTATCAATAAGACTAGTGACCTGATTAATGTCAAAGTGCTTCCAAAGGGGATTTGTATCAGGTACTTTCCTTAATTAGGGAGATCAGAATAAGAGAAAAACTTGGATATTCAAGTTGGACAAATTCAGATGATCACAGGATGATTAGTCACTGAAACCCAAGTGTGATGAGATATAGTGGGTTCTCAGTTTTAAAATGCCACAGCTTAGTAAGCTCAGTACAGAGATCACTGAGTGATTAAAGGGCAGCGTCTTACAATATATCAAACTAAATGATGTAGTACTTCCTAGTCAGCTTATAGCCTAGGAATTTGTAAAATGGTCATTTTCAGAGGCTTCATCTTGTTGGGTACTGTAAAGGATAGCTCCTTTGACAGAGACCTATCTCCCCTGAATCTCAAATCCCTGTTTCAAAGGGTGCAATTTATAGGCATACTAAGTAAATAAAACCAAAGCAACTTGTATGCTGTGATGACAGAAGGGAGTGTACCGTGTATTTTCCTTTTTTGCTCCCTTTTTCCAGCCCCATATCTCAATCTGGAAATGGACAGGGTTCCCATTTGAAGAAGACTCCATTTGAAGCAGATGAGAAATCATAGTTTGAATTCTGGGAGTGTAGTTTGCAGGATAATAATAACTAAAAATGATCTTATCATAGAAGTTATTAAGCATAGTTGCCAATTTCCTGCTTTTAATATCCTACTGAAACCTTTGATAATTCACGTAATGTAGAGTGTGAAAGATGTTCCCAGAACAGCACTGATGAAGCCATGTTCCTATTTTTGTTGCTGGGACCTGACTTGGGTTATGGCTTGATGTGGAAGAAAAGTAACTCTGTTGTTTTAGAAGCTCATCCGAATGCTGAATAGTTAACTCCAGAAGTCATTGTTGTGAAATGAAGACTGATTTGCTGCTACTCCTTAATTGCTTTCGGAGGTACGTACATGTCTGCATATACAAATGCTTATAGTTTAATGACAGATTGTCATTCTAGTTCAAATGTACATAAATTATACTACTTGTATAGAAGAAAATTCTTCCCTATGAAATTGCAAAGGATGCTTCCTGACTTATTTGTGCTGTAAATCTTTAGTGTGGCAATATATTTTCAGTGTGAGGAAAAAATGTGGTTTATTCCATCCACTTTATCATATTGGATGCAGCAGAATAACCTATTAGGCATCTTAAGGACATTCATTTTCCTTGGTCTAGCAGTGGAATTGGTTATTTTGGACTTTGAGTGGGCTTGGTAGTAGACATACTTGTAGGCCTGAGGCATAATCCGGCATCTGCTGGTGTTGGTGAAACTTTTTCCTTTGGAGACTTCAGTGTGGTGTGGGTAGGTGGGTTGGTGGTTTTTTATTTTTTATTTTTTTTTCTCTGTCCTGTCCCCCTTTTCTTCCCCCCCCCCGGTTGACTTCCTACCACATGGTAGGTACTGGTTCTAGGTGATAAAGTTGTGGGAGTAAGGGATCTGCAGGAGTGGTCTTTGTGAGGAAAAAGTCAGGGATCCATCAGCAAAGCAAGTGGTGCTTCTGGGAAAATGTATTTAAGAAAGGGCAAAATGCTGCACAGCAGTGAAGAAGTGTGAGAAGCAGCCCTGCAAACACACAGAAGGTCAGAGAAGGAGCAGAGGAAGGATCTGCTCCAAGTATGGGAAGAGATGTTCTCCTGAAGTCTATGGAGGAGACTATGCCAGAGTACATGGATATGTACTGAGTGATCTAGAGCCCATAGCTAGCCCATGCTGGAGAAGGTCCTTCCGGAAGGAACTGCGGCTCCTATGCTGGAGTAGCTGGTCAGTGTCTGCAGCCCATGGGAAGGACCCCATGCTGGAGCAGGGAAAAAGTGTGAGGAGGAAAGAGTAGCAGAGAGGAACCATTATTGACTGACTGCAACTGCATTCTTCATCCTCACTTGGGGAGTGGGGAGGAGGTAGAGAATGGAGTGAAGCTGAGCCTTGGGGAAAAGGAGGTGGGGGAAGAAGCTGCTTTAGTCCTTGTCTTTGTTTCTCACCATCCAGGTCTATTTTATTTGGCAGTAAACTAGATCAGTTTTCACTGGGTTAAGTCTGTTTGGTGTGTGATAGTAACTGGTAAGTGATCTTTGCATCTTCCTCTTAACACATGAGCTTTCAAATTTCATTTCTCCACCAGTCCGGGGGGGGGGGGGAGGAGTCAAACAGCAGCTGTGTGGGTGGCTGACAGCTTGCTGTCAACCAACCACAGATACTGTCTTTTATGGCAAGTGTATGTTTATTCCTTCCTGTGTGAAGTCCCAAACCCTTGAGTTTCTGTGTAGGCTTTCTGTCCACTTCTGGGGAGGTGGTAGATGGGTGCACTTGTGTCTATTGGAACACTGTCAATATACTATATGCTTTTGAAGGCAGTAGTTTTGCAGCTGTGCTTCCTAAAGCCATGCTTAGCAGTGCTGACTGGGCTGGGGAGCCTCATGTGTGACAGGGCTTCTAGAGAAAAGTTTGACATTGTGCTAATCTTGGAGCAATTTTTATGGATCCTAGTCCAAAATACTTAAAAGTATTTTTATTAATGTTTTCAAAACAGTTGATATTTGGAACTAGGGAACTAGAAAGTGCCGTGTGCCTCACGTTATTTACTTACTTAGATTCTATCCAATTCCAACCTGGAGGTACTTTCTTCCAGAACTCATGTGAGGGGGAAACGGGGAGGAAGATTGTCAGGCAACAGTTGCTTATGCATATAATAAGTATTATATATTTACGTGCCTTCTTTCATCAGTATGGAAGGGGACTTTTGATTAGAAGTGTCAGATCTCTTTGGGGATTGCAGTATTGTTTACTTGTTTTGTTTTTAATTACAGATGGGAATTTACAGCGATTTTTTTTTTTTTTTTTTTTTTTTTAATACCAAATGTCATGCTGTGTCATTTCCTTCTTTTCTGGTTTAGGTCCTTCAGAATAATTTCCTGCCTTAAAAAAAAACAAACCAAAAACCACAAACCCTACTGTTTGCTATATATGTGTGAAATTGGAGTGTTTGTACTGAAGTCAAGAAAGAAGCTACCTAACCCGTCTATGGTTCATTTTCCCATATATTCCCAAATGGTAACGCTGATACTTAGCCAGTTTTCTAAATTATTTGTAATCTACAGTAAAAAATACACTAAAAACTACAATTATGTTTTTGCATCTTGGTAATAGTTCCAGAGGGCCCATTATGTTTTATCGAATAAACACTTTGACATTCCTACTAATTTTTGAATATATATTTAGAAGTTTATTTTAAAATAGATTTTTGATCAATAGTCTGTGGTGGATTCTCTAGGAGAGTCATTAGTATCTATTGTATAAATCTTTCTTAATTTGTG